CCACTACAGGAAGGAGTAAACCTGCTTGCTTTATAATGTTTCTAAGACTGTACATATTTTGTAAGTTGAAGTCTCAGAGAGCTTCAGGGGGCAGTCCTATTCTATTCTATAGGCTCATAATTTATCTGTGTGATAGGTTCAATAGCAGCGAGTGAAGCACATCATTAGAACACCACACTGGGGCATCTCAGGGTCACCATCTAGGCATGTGTTTGTCGACTTGCTTAGCACTGCTTCTGCCCATTAGGACATGAATGAGTCAGGTCAGGCTGGTTCACAGCTGTATAGAGTGGCATCCGGCACACAGAAGGCACTCAATGTGGTTAATAAATGCACAGACACGTGAATGACTGAGAACTTGAACCAATGGACCCATAGAAACACGCATGCACACATCCCTGTGCTCAGAACCTTGCCCAAGTTTGATCAGGGCTTTCAGAGCAGAGCTGATGCGGATAGACTCCAACATCCAAGCTGGAGTCAGCCCCACAACCCGGGTTCCCTTACCTTCAGCCGCCACTCCTTTCTGCTCGAAGGCTGCAGATAGACGCTCCAGCACCATGCTATCACTGGAGCCCTCCACTCGGACCTCCTCATCCAGGAGCCAGAAAAGGCCCTTGGCGTCCTCTGTAGGACCTGCAGCTGGTAAGCGGAGCTGGTGGAGAGAACAAGGATGCATTGCAGGGGCCTGAGCCCTGTTAGAGGCCGATGCCTGAGCTGCTCCCGGCATGTGACTCTGCACCAAGCTGTGCACCCCCATGTTCTCACTCGCCCCAGCACTTGCAGTGCCCAAAGCACACAACTGGACACTGGATCCAAATACTGCCCCTGTGTTCCCTTCCTGTGTGACCTGGGGCAGGTCCTGGCACCTGTCTGTGCCTCTGTGACCTCTTGTGTTTATGGATAATGGGAATACCTCTCTAGGAGGGCTGCTGCTGGGCCGGGGTGACCAGGCAAAGCGGACGTGCTCTATCCTTCACACATTTGTGGAGGCACGCGGGGACTCCATGAGAGGGGAAAGCCTCAACCAGCTCCCCATCACTCTTCTTAAGGGGCTTTTATCGTTCCTTGAACTAAAACCTTGAAACATTCTGAGCACCCAAAGAGCATTTCCAGGGAGAGAGGGGTGACCTCAGGTCAGAGCCTTGGCTGTGAAAATCTCATGCAGCCATGAGCTGCAGGGAATGTTAAAAGCCTCCCTTTCACTCTGCAGGTGGAAAGCGGCCCCTGGTGGTGCAACGGTGAAGCACTCAGCAGCTAACTGAGGGTCGGCAGTTTGAACCCACCCATCTGATCTGCGGAAGAAAGACCTGGCAATCCGCCCCCCTCCCTGCACTCTCCCCCCACCCCCACCCCCAGTGCAGTTAAAAGCCTAGCAGACCCCACAGGACAGCTCTACTCTGTCACAGGGGAATGACTCTCAGCCGAAATCAGTGGCACTTAGCAACCACCTGAACGAGAAAGGATAGAAGGCAGGAGATTGTCAGGGTGTGCCTGAGAGCCCCTCAGGGCCGGATGGCAGCTAAAAAAGCCACAAGTAGCATTAAGTGGTGGCAGAAGAGATGTGCTGTGGTAAGTGATCAGCATTCCCAGTTTGTCTAAGGAGTGGGCGGTGAGTTTTCTAGACATGTGTTTCTCAGGGATAAGGCCAGGATGAGTGGTCATGCTAGTTTAGAGACCCTGAGAGGAGATGAGGCCTTCCCGGAGTTACACAGAGCTGAGCATGAGCCCCAGGAACCCTGAACTTGAACTTGTCCCTTGCTTCCATGTTGGGCTTGAAATCGATAGCTGGCTGTTTGTCACGAGGTGAATTCCCAGCCATGTCCCCGTGACCTTACGGACATGGTCTCTTTTCTGGGAGGAAGACCACCCAGAGAGAGGCCAGGAGGAAGTGGGCACACTGGCAACAGACTTCCCACAGGCCTTGAGGTAGCCTGTTCAGCCCACCCTGGGCCAAAGGCAGGCTGGCAAACCATCCGTGACCAGTGAGCAGGGAAGTTAGAGGAAAAGAAAGGGCTCCTATCATGTACCGGCCACCATGTTGGACAAGTTACGTGCTAGAGCCTGGACTTCCCCAACCGCTCCAGGGAAGATCTTATGGCCTCTTTGTAAACAGGAAGCCTAGGGTCCAGCCTGGTCAGGATTCTCAGCCCAAGGACATTTACCTCCAGGTGTGAATGTCAAAAAAACAAACAAAGGGAAGTCAAGGGCAATGCTTAAGAAGCCCAAAGCTGTAAGAGGTACAGAGATAAGGAGCGGGAGGCCAAGACTCAGACATGCCCCAATCTATAGCCTGTCTCCTCACTCTAGATCAGGATTTGGGGTCCACTGTCACCCTCTGCTCTCCAGTCACTAAGGGTCCCACTGCTGCCAAGTGCAGCGTCTTTGTCTGACGCCTGATGTCCCAGGTGATGGGGGCTGCATCCATGCTGAACTCCCTTCAGCGCAGACCACAGGCTCCCTGTGGGTGCATCTGATTGGCGACACAAGGCTAGACCCAAAGTGACAGCTGTCATCACCCTGGTGCCCCAGTCTCAGACCCAGACGAATCAAGGCAGAATGCTCCCGGGTCACCTCCAGTGCTATA